GAGGACTTGGGAGTGAGAACGAGTTGGGTTGTAGATGGTTCATTTTATATCAACAGTTGCACAGTTTATGCAGCAATAGTCTCTTGTGTTGTTGATGTGTTTTTCTGTACGAATGGCTGAAAGGCATTTTGTAATAAAGAATATGTTCTGTATCACTTTGTGTTGTGTCAGTTTCTTCTTCCTGTTCAGAAGATAACTGATTCTTTTGTTACAATATCATTTATAAATGCGTAGTCAGGCATAGATATTCCTCACTTTAGATGAGCTCACACAAATACTTCACTAACCATTAGTAACTACCTGAATTAATCATGAATTGCAGTATTATTAAGTGTTATAAAACATTTATCTATTAGACCATTTCAAAATAATTACATGTCATGTCAAATTAGCGGTTGATCAAAGCACTAGAGAGGATTGGGGGGAGTAAGATTGGTGTCTTTCAACAGACCATTCAAGCTACCCTTTACTGGTCCCATCACAGCAGAGCTCTGGAAGTGCAGATCTTGGAGTTTTGATGAGTTCAGAGAAACGGTACCAGGCCTGTAACGGTGAAGCTTTTACCCTGTAAAGTTAGCTGGGGCATCTTTCGGGTAGTCTTAGTAGCATCCTTTGGGCTTTGCCACTGGTAGATTTACGAGATTGTTTATATTCTTTCTCGGGTATGAAAGTATCAAAAAACAGGCAGTTATGTAATAATTTTCTTACACTTTACAAATGATCTTATGAACCATTAACAACTCATATAAATGGTTTGTCATAAATGTAATACTTCATTTTATATAATGAACCAATCATGTATGTAAGTATTAAAATGAAAGTGAAAGTGAATTTCATATTTACTAATACTTAACTAATGCTTCATAGTGTGTAGTTATTATAAAGTGCTACCAGATTAACTGTTTGGCCAAGATGTATGTATGTAACACAAACTGTATGAAGTGTTCAGTTTTATGATTTTAGCAATTTGAAAGAAAATGTAAACTCAAACTGTCTAGTTTAAATTTAAATTGCCAGTTGATCTGCTTTTAGAATGGATCTCTTTATGGCAAGAATGAACAGAAGGAACCATACAGCAAGCATCAACTCCTTCAGCGTACATTTGGGCATGTCAGTAATGTTTTCAGATAGCCTTGAAAAAAGCAATCCTATTCTCATTTCTCTTTCTTGTGTTCTTACCTGTGTCGTTTGCTTCAGGAGGCTCTGTGACACTGAGTAGACAGGAAGTGTTTTTATCTTTCATTAGCAGAAGGGAAGGATGCTGTGTTCACATGATTTCACAGAAAGTCTCTCTGAAGTTGACAGTTTTTTCAAAAGGAAAACCAAAATGATGAAATGCTGATTAGAGGGAGGGGAGGTTCCACTCAGAGAGTTTCTGCGAAATCATGTGATTTCACCGAGCGTCCCTCCCTTCTGCTAATGGAGGATAAAAACACATCCTTCCTCTTCAGCACCACAGATCTTCCTGAAGCCAACAGCACAGGTATGAACACTGAGAAAAAGGAACGATAAAATTGTTTCTAATGTCTAATGATTTTAGACTAACAAAGCTTAAAATGGGAAAAAAATTCACCCGACATAATAATGATATTTATAGACATCTTCATTTATCACTGTGTTAAGTAAATTTTTCTACAATGAAATAAAATGACAGGACAGACATGTTCCCCAACCTGGCAACCCAGAAGGTATGTTTTTATAAAAGATTTATAAGTCAGCCATTAAGCATTAATCATTTATGAGGGTACCCCCAGGATTCTCAAAGTTAAAGTTAAGTATTTTAATACTACCAAGGATGAAATTTAATACCAACTTCACTGCTGTATAATGGAAAATCTGTATGAATTTTAAGCCCAAAGTTACCTGAATTTAATAAAACATGTTATATAATACATTCATATTTAACACACTATAGATTTTTGGGGTGTGTTTATACTGATAAGATAAAATTAATCAAGGACGTCACTTTGTGTTGAAAAGTGGTGGGACATAAGGGTTTAGATTAGGGGTGTGATTATACACCTTGGCTAGATAAGGTAATGTATTAATAATATGCCAATTGCTTCATTGATTATTCATCCTGTTCTTTTTGCATCAAAGGCTGTTTGAAATATAATATATAGTATTGGCTTGAAAGCAGTGGGGAAAAGGAGTTTGGCTCCGGTTTGTTTTTCCCTCGTTCTCGTGATCGGCACATCTGGGTGATGTAAGTGTAATGTGCGTTACTTTGATGTTTCCATTCACATAACGTTAGCCTAAACACTCCACACTCCACAGTGAGCATAAAGCTGAACACTGACGTAAATAGGAACGTTACCTGTATTGCCGTATCCAAGTCACATCTAACGGAGGAAATTATAAAGTCTCACACACAAAATATTAATTTATGACGTTACAGCATTTATTTAATCCTACAAAAGGACAAGAACAAATTTAAGACCTTGGTAAATGAAAATTAATACTTACAAGGCCTTATTTTTGGAATATAAATTTAAGACTTGTTTATTCACTTTTTCCACTATGAGGATGTAACAACCTGTATCCTGGAGTTTCTCCTCACCTGACCTTGTAAGAACCAGTAAGGTCTTGGTTCTAGGTCAAAAACATATTCTGGAAATGTCAGTGCTACAGTACAAGTTTTCTCAGTTGTTTACACATTAACACTGGTACTTAGACACAATGACCACAACCTGTTATTCATGTGTCAACCAAGTCTGCTAAAACCAAGCACATTTCCTCCTTTACACTGCAGCTCTAAACCACATTCAGAACACTACCCACAGATCTCTATGCACATAGACGTAAACATAAACTGTGCAGAAATGCAGGATATTTGCCATTATTCTGTTTCGAATGTGCTTTTAACAGTTTTTGACACAAGGTGTTAAGATGTAAAAAATTTGATTTAGTGTTTCCCAGGTGGTGAAGTAGTAGCCTAATGATAGTGTGATAGAGTGTGACTGTGTGAAGAGTCTTGACCAATGCATGTTACCAACACAAAGAAACTGTAAGAGAAGAGACATACTGTGAAGTGGCTGTTGTAGTTGCTGATGCATGCTTTGACCAATAGAGGGCTCTACCTCATCAAAAGTCAATAAAAAGAAACATTAAATATATATTCCAACTGAAATCTGGCTTCAAATTTTCCAATTTGTACTAGAACCAATAATTCTATATGGCAGCGAAATCTGGGGGCCAAACTTAATAATGAATTTGATAAATGGAACAAAAAATAATAGAATCTTTCCACAGCGAGTTCTGTAAGAGCATCCTGCAGGTGCATAGAAAAACACCAAATAACCTGTGCAGAGCAGAGCTCGGCCAATACCCCCTCTTACTAAAAATACAGAAAAGATCACTTAAATTTTACAATCACTTAAAATTAGTTAACCCCCAGACATATCATCACAAAGCCTTAACATACCAGGAGCTGAAACCAGAGAAGAGTCCCCTCAGCCAGCTGGTCCTGAGGCTCTCTGCAGTAACAAGTCCCCAACAGCCTCAGGACAGCAACACCAACTCAAGCAGACCAAACCAAATTATCAGCAAGAAAGTAAGATATATTGAATACTGGAAAGAAACAACCAAAACACAAAGTAAATTCCAATGTTATCTGACCCTAAAAGAGAATTCACACTGGCAAATTACTTGAGTACAATAAAAGTAAGGGGTCCCTATTGAAACTGTAAAGATTTTTATATTTTTTTTTTCTGCAAAGTAAGCTCAATTTTGGGGACCTGAGCATACTCGAAAACTCACCAAACTTTGCACACATGTCAGAACTGGTGAAAAATTTTGTATTTTATGGGTTTCGCGCATGGGCGTTGCAAAATGACTCGCTAGCGCAACCTAGAAAATTAGCCCCTCGTTCACGTTCAACCTACATGCACGAAATTTTCTGGGGACATGTAACATATCAAGACGCACAAAAAAGCCTCAGGAACCCATAGCCTAAAGTCAACAGGAAGTCGACTATTTTGAATTTTACGGCCATTTTTGGATGATTTACACACTTTAACGAACTCCTCCTAGGGATTTAGACCGACCGACTTCAAATTTCTGCTGTGCCTTCTAAAGGCATTGACGATGAAAAGTTGTGCTATTTGCGAGTTTTCGTCAATGGGCGTGTCCGTGGCGTGGCGTCAAAGATCAAGTCTTCGCCATGACACAGGAAGGTTTTGTAACTTCAGTGTACATGCTCACATCTGCACCAAACTTTACGTGCTTGATAACTGTCCTGCCCTGAACACATGTACACACCAATATTGATTATATTCATAGCGGCAAGTGCTATGTTGCGCCACAAAGGGGATACAGGAAGTGACATATAGCACCTTCATGCGTCGTCGGAACCGCGTACCAAATTCACAGCCGCACCGGCAGAGCTCCAGAATGTGCAACTCGGCCGGCTCACACCGGCCGCGCTACAAGTGCGAGGGCCCGCCCAACGCTGCTTGCAGCTTTAATGTTTTTTGTTTGTTTGTTTTAATTTCAAGTTTGATTTATTTTGTATTAATATACACATATTATTATTATTATTATTATTATTATTATTATTATTATTGTACAGTGATTAAAAATATGTATGAAAGGAATTGTTCTTTTGTAATTTATTTGTAGATTTGGCAGTATTGTTGTTTTAGATTAATGCCAATTAAGCTAGATTGAATTGAATTGTTGTAAAACAATGGTTATTCATACTGTTTGAAATAAACAGTTTGATGGTAACCTATTTCCGCTGCATTTGGACAGAACCTTTAGCAGACTGGGTTCAATCAAAGAGACAACGAGACATCATATTCATTACTGTTACTGCAGAAACAGTCAGAGTTCAGTTGTGGAAGCAGCAGCTTCACAAACACTATGAAAGTTCTCCTTTAACATCTGAGCTCCTGTTAGCAGTCTGATGGAGATGTGGAATCATTTCATTGTGTAACTTTTCTTCATTACAGATGAATGAAAATGTAGTTACAGTTATGGTTTGTTTTTTCATCCAGACACCAACACCTGTTTCAGCCTCACTGTCTGCAGCCCTCTCTACCAGTCATCACCATGGCAACGGAGTGAGTAACATTAACACAATAAATATTTAAAAAAAATTTAAATAAAATTTTTTATCAAAACTAACTATGCAGCAATAGACATTAATAATTATTTTGTTTTATTGTTTCACTGTAATTAAATCAGTTAATTATGTTTTTAACATGCTGAAGAAGACACACAGCTGTGATGTAAAAAGTTGAATACAGTTCTTTTTCTGTTAAAAATGAAACACTGATAATAAAACAAAGACAACAGAGAAACACGGGGAGGGAAAAGTCTCTTTCAGACCTGCACCTCTTTAATCAAGACGACAATTCTAATTCTGTAACATTTACAACATGTCTGAACTCAATGATTTCAGATTACAGTTTTTCTTCATTGCTTGAATACTATAATCAGACTTTTGAACTAAAATTCAAAACCATAACTCCATTTTTCAAAAAGCACACCTATTTCTCTAAACTGTACTCACAAATCCCTTTATTTCTCATTACCTACACCATGAGGTCATTGAGAAAACACTGACATTCAATATTGTTCACTCAATCAACACAGGATGAGCTCAATTAGCACCCAGGTGGAAACACCATCCATCATCAACCGCTTATCCTGCGTACAGGGCGCGGGGGCTGGAGCCAATCCCAGCTGGCATCGGATGAAAAGCTTGGTCCACCCTGGACAGGTCACCAGTCCATCGCAGAGCCACACATAGACAAACAACCAGTCACACTCACACTCACATCCACAAGGACAATTTTTAGAGCCACCAATTAACCTAGTCCGCATGTCTTTGGATGGTGGGAGGAAGCAGGAGCGCCTAGAGAGAACTCACGCAGACACGGGGAGAACATGCAAACTCCACATAGAAAGGCAGGGGCAACCGAGGTTTGAATCTCTGGCCTCTCCCAGACCAAAGAGAGGACGCTGGGGCAGAATAATTAGTTGTTTGGTGTGTTGGACTGTAGAGTATACTAAGGTAAATTTCCTCCAGCTGAACTCAGACAAAACAGAAATCCTGGTCATCGGGTCCCAGCAGATGGCAAATCAAATACTGCCATCTGCTGGTTCCCTAGTAAATCACATTAAGCCTGTGGCAAAGAACCTTGGTGTTTGGTTTGATAGTAATTGAAATTTCGAGCAGCACACCACAAAGCTTGTTCAATCATGTTTTTATCAACTTAGAAATATAGCTAAAATTCGATCTATGTTAACTTTTAAGGACACCGAGACCATTTTACACGCCTTCATCTCATCACGCCTGGATTATTGCAACAGCCTTTTCACCTGTTTAACCCAAAAATCTATTGATCGACTCCAGACTGTCCAGAACTCAGCTGCCAGGCTTTTAACCAGAACAAAGAAATATGACCACATTACTCCTATTTTAGCTTCATTACACTGGCTCCCAGTATGTTTTAGAATTGACTTTAAAATTCTATTGATCACTTTTAAAGCTCTTCATGGCCTCTCGCCTTGTTATTTCTGACCTTTTAGTCCCATACGCACCAGCACGTACCTTGAGATCCTCGGGCAGAGGTCTGTTGTCTGTTCCAGAGTCTCGACTGAAAACTAAAGGGGACAGAGCGTTTGCTGTCAGGGCCCCGAGGCTCTGGAACAGCCTGCCCGAGGAAATCAGGTCGGCTGAGTCAGTGAACTCTTTTAAGTCCCTTCTTAAAACATACTTTTATAGGAGAGCTTTTCCCGATCTTATTTGACTTTATTTTATCCCTTTTATTTTATTTATTTGTTTTTTTTAATTGTATTTCACTAATTTTATATTAATTTTTCATGCTCTTATCTTGTTTTTGTATTATTCTTTACACTTGTTAAAGCACTTTGTAACTTGTTTTTGAAAAGTGCTCTACAAATAAGGATTATTATTATTATTATAAGGTAAAACGTACAATGTTTACATTTGTTATTCCTTTTGTTGTGTTCATCATGTGAAAATGTTTCTGAGAGAACCACAAGCAACATTACTTATAAGCAGTTTTTGTAGTATTGTGTTGAATTTATCTCACCAGTGTGTCAGACTGTGTTTTAGTTTGTGTGTTTTTGAGGACTGATGTGTCACATCTGAGGGCAAAGTTTGGTTTTTCAGTAAGATTGAGTGGAGAGCTTTATTTTTAAATTGTTGATTTGAGGTATAAAAAGGTATAATTTAAAGAAATGTGTTTAAGCAATGGATAAAAACGGTAACATAAAGACTGCAGCAGGTGAAAGATGCAGAGAGATCATTAAAGCATTCTGACATCTCTGACAAATCCACAACTTCTCGCCCAACTCCCCAAAACTTACTATTTTGGGGTGTAGCGGGGTCGGTGCGTGTGTTCACTCGCACAGACTTCACTCGGTTAAAAACTTGAAATGACATTACAAGTCGCGGTCGATATTTTACAAGCACAGACCAGGTAACATTAAAGCAGCATTCAACACAGGGTGCAGATGTTGGTTTGAGTTGTTTGATAGGCTACTTCATTAACAAGCAAGCGGTACACCTGCTGCCGTGATAACGGATCGCGGGTGGAAAAATATGGAACAAAGATGACAGCATAGTCTGTCAAAGCCTCCCTCCACTGCTTGTCTGGGTGGGTGATTTGCAGGCTGATCAACATCCCGCCCTTCCTGTGACCCAGGGTTTGACTGGATGTGTATTCAGAGCCAGTGAGCAAGGGACTTTCAAACTAATAATAATAAAATAAGAACTGCGTTAATGTGCGATAAAATAATTGTCGGCATTAATTAATTAATGCGATAATAATGCATTAACGTGCCCAGTCCTAGTTATAAGTAACGTTGCCTGTGGTTCTCCCAGAATCAGAAACATTTTCACATGATGAACACAAAAGGAATAATTGCACACATGTTTTATTCCTCAGTGTGCTGTACAGTACAACACGCCAAACAACTAATTATTCTGCCCCAGCGTCCTGTCTTTGGTCTGAGACAGGCCAGAGATTCTTGTTCTCCACCTCCTCCACCTCCTCCTCCACCCTACGCCTCCTCCGCCTTCCCCACCTCCTCATCTTCCTCCTGTCCTGTCTCCTCCGCCAACTCCTACTGTTCTTCTTCCTTCACCTCTTCCTTCTCTCCATACTGCTCTTACTCCTCCTCTTCTTCCTCCTCCTCTCTGGATCCATTGTTCCAAATCTGAATTAACTGACTTCGGCCTTTTTGTCTGTCTATTGAAGCTTCTGATTGGTGTGTTATCAATTTTGACTGTTTGTGTCTGCACTTGGGCAGCTGTGAGATAATTCAGCTCAACATGTGCTGATTGAGTGAAAAATAGTGAATTTCAGTGTTTTCTCAATGATCACATGGTGCAGGCTGTGAGAAATGAAGGGATTTTTATACAGAGTTTAGGGAAATGGGTGTGCATTTTGAAAAATAGAGTTATGGTTTTGAAATTTAAATTCAAAAGCCTGATTATGTTATGCAATTGAGAAAAACTAACAATTTTCCTAAACTCTTAACACATCAACACACTGACAACACACAACTGGCAAAACAATTAACTTAATGCTCAAAATCACACATTGTAAACTAAACTCCAACAGTAATTTTCAAAATACACTTACACACTAACACAATACACTATATCTACCAAAACACTGCAAACATGTCCCAAAATCAAATAAGTCTTCCAAAACACTAACATACATTCTCTTCCAACGGGAACATTTAGTCTATCATAGCACAATGTCACAGCACATAACACTAATTTTATAACATTATTTTATATGTATGGTCTACCCTGATACAGTAAACAGTAAGGCAAGGCAAGTTTATTTGTATAGCACATTTCAACAACAAGGTAATTCAAAGTGCTTTACATTAAACATAAAAGCAACATAGGGAAATTTAAAGAATACACATTAAAGAAATAATAAAAGTTCTATATAATACAGTATATTGTATTGATAATAGATTATGGTTTGCAGTGCAGTTTCTTTAGAATACATGGAAAATGATTTACACTTTGCAGCAGGAGGAGCCCTACAATATCCTACGTGTTGGTTACTCAAAAAGTCTGGACAATGGATGCCACTGTGTCCCGTCTGAGGTTTGGCTGTACTGTTAACCAGCCTCTCTGTATGATAGCCCATGGTTTATGACATGGTCTATGATAGGAGCTCTTATTTTATCAGTCCCCTAAGCTCTGGCCCTTCTTTGAGCACCACCACATATTCTGACTCCTCTGCCTCTACCTTATATTGTTCCTTTTCCACACAAGATCAGCCCAAAGAGGTCCTCTTTTACTGTATATCTTATGGTCATATGAGTGTGTTCCTACATGTGAATTTGATTGATCCATTAAGCAACTGTTTCTCAGTAGCAATGGGATAAAAGAAAGGGGATATATTTGTGTTTCAAGACACAATATGAAAAGCTGTTCACTTTGTTATCTTTTCTGACGTGCAGTGTGAAAGCATTTGTAAATTTGGCAGTAAAAATCCATTGTTTTGGTCTGGGTTGAGCTTGTGTGTAAAGAAGTTCAAGCCTTTTAAATTTGTATTGACTGTTTAACATTTTGTGTGACAAAATGTGTTAATTGTATAGCCTACACAGACAGATGTTGTGCTGTGTTAACAGTTTAGGGAAATTGTTTAAAGTGTTGAAAGGATTATCACAGTGATCATAAAAAACTGTAATGAAACAGTTCATTGCAGACATCTTTTAAGCTGTTGAGGACATTCTTATATCAGAAAAGAAGATGAACTTGTACAGTCACTAGAATAATCAAATCATTTACACAGAGACTCCCAGTGTCAGGTTTCAGTCTTGTTACTCAACAGCAGACCGGAGATAAGGTAAAAGAGTTAAGGTTATTTATTTGTAACAATAATATTGTGAAGCAGAGGTGGTTGCAGGTCAGTGGAGCTGGGGGTTGATTTGGATCCTCGGTCTAAATTAGGGTTGCTTGTTCAATACAGGAAAATAAGGGACACCTGCCGCAGTGGGGGCCACACCACTTGGGGGCCCTTCAACGACAGGCCCGATGGTGTGCCAGTATCATAACTTAAAACATGTTTTCAGGAAAGTATTAAGATTGATACCAATGGATGTTGTGATAAGCTATCTGCTATTGAAATCAGTGTGAACAGATGCACTCAGTCTCTCTATCAACAGACTAGTGGTCATAATGTCAGAGCCGAATACAAAGCTAACGATATTCCATGAACATCAGCGGACCAGAAGTAGCAGGCCTTGTGTGCAGTATTGGAGCATTAGGCCTACTTCCTTTTATAAATGTTTTCTAGTCAGAAGTACAGGACTCGTCCAGCACTAAAACTATGAACTGCTCAAAGTTGAGAATAATCAAGAGCTCACTCATGAGCTCCTCAGAGAACCGGCTCTTGCTGTCACTTTGTTGGTAATTCTGGAAAAGATCCTTTCCACATGTGTCTGACAGTATACTCAAACCTTAAAAAACAAATCATACCATAATGTAGGCAATGAAACAATATTTCTCAACAAAGGCGGCATATGAAGTCCGTGATCAATCAGAAAATGTGAAAATGCCACCGTGCACCACACAGAACACTGGCTGACAAATTGTGACATTTGGTTTGATACTCATCAAGTGGACTATTTGATTTCTCCCACTGTCGTTGTCATTGGTACTTTTGCATCTGCTTTTGTTTCAGAGGAGATGCGGGGCCCTTATCTGACTCAGATTGGCCACGAACCTGACGGTATTAATAAAAACCCACATTGGCAGCGAGCATTACCCAATCAGGGGTAGAAAAGGAGAAGTATTCACAGAATGCGGGTGGGAGGATTTGCATGCGATGCTGCATTAAAGACAACTTGAAAATACGGGACAAATTGCGTCCCATATTGATTCAAAACAGGACACGCTATTCAATTCAAATTAGCTTTATTGACATGAATGTATAGCAACAATATTGCCAAAGCTATTTAGTTCTCAATACCATTTCGTATTTTAAGGGAAGGCTGGCAACCCTAGTCCAAATGATGCGGACAGACAGGAATACAAGTCTGGTGGTGGCAAGCAGAGTGAGTAGGTTATTTCTGAGGTCTGGTACGAGAGGTCTGGAAGTTAGTTCCTGAAGCCCAGACATGAGCAAACAGACTTGTCTGCTCTGTACTACTTGAAAATAGACTCGCCAGGTATTCTCCACAGAGCAGAGAGACATGCTGCTGGGACATGCTGTGGCCAACAACTCAAGGGTCTGACCTTGCCAGGAGACTGTAGAATGCAGCTATGTACAGTGACAGGAAGACAAAGGCACAATAGCACGGCACACTAGGATCCGTTTCTTAGCTAGCGAGCCTTTGTGTTTAATGACCAATTTGACAGTGACCCAGATGACTGCAGTAGAGACAGCTATTACTGTCGATGCAGTACTTCTGTTACTTGGTGTCGACTTGGTTCCGGCCCAGCTGCAACAGTTGGCTCCCTGTGGTGTCCTCTTGCCTTCCTGCTCCCTGAGAACAGACAGGGCTAAGTGACTGACAGGTTCTTACCGGGGTTATGTTATGTCACCTCTTACATTCACAGCACTGGTTATCTATACAAATTGTAAGGGAAATTACTGTTCGTCTGACTTTGGTGTGTTCCCGTGCTTTTAAGTTGGAATGTGGAAACAAATTGGACACTTCTCCGAAGATGTGTTTGATTCAAGTAACCTCTGGGACCTGCTTTCTCTCTAACAGCCAGCAGGGGGCGACTCCACTGGCTGCAGAAAGAAGTGTGATTGTATATGTCAATGAGAAAATGAGGTTACTTCTCAGCTGATTTATTACCTCAGTAAACACTTTCCTAATGGGTAGTGATGGCACAGTTGATAGGACACATGCCTTTGGTGTGAGAGACCCGGGTTCAATCCCCCACTGCGACCCTTCCACCAGCGTGTCCTTGAGCAAGGCACTTAACCCCTAGTTGCTCCAGAGGCGTGAGACCTCTGACATGTATAGCAGTTGTAAGTTGCTTTTAGTAAAAGCGTCAGCTAAATGAATAAATGTTTGTCAGGATTGATGAGTCCATCCAAAGCAACAGGCAAGACAAAACTTGCAGTGGAAAGTGGCAACATCCAAAACGCAGAACAGGTAGTGCAGCAAATGGCGATAACACATCATATTACAATGACCTGACCAAGACTGAGGGAAACAAGCAAGCATATATACACACACAGGGTTAACGAGCTGGGAGGGGATACACAGGCGAGGGACATGAGACTAACGAGACACAGGTAGGCAGAGAGATTAAACAGAACCAAGAGCAGACAAAACCAAAACATGCAAACGCAAACACATAACTAGGAGAAAAGACATTACTAAGATACAAGTGAGCCAAACAGAAGCTGCAAATGAAAAATGAATTAAACAAGGCTAAACAGAGAACAGAACCGAAAAAAGAAAACATGGACCAACTGTTACCCAGACCGGGGTAGGGAACAGAGACAGGAAACAGGAGAAGACTCAACAAGGAACAGAACAGAAATAAGGAAAATACCAAAATACCACTAAACACCAACTGACAGATACTAACCAGATAAATAATAACCCAGACTAAATAACAGATACCGAACTGATCAATAAGTAAACTCACAGCAAACTAAACTCAACAGATGACAGAACTAAAAAGTAGTTGCAAAACCCATACCTCAGAATCAAGAACCAAACCCCAGAAACAGAGAAACCAAAATCAAAACACAGAGGAGGCACGGCCAAAATAATATAACACAGACAACCTCAGGACAGGATTGTAAATGCTCCGTACTTGTATATATAGCAGTAGCCTTTCTAGTCTTTTTGACCACTCAAAGTGCTTTTACACTACATCTGCATTCACCAGGGGTTCAGTATCTTGTCCAAGGACACTTCGACACGCAACCAGGGGGAGCCAGGGATTGAACCGCCAACCTTCCGATTAACGGCCAACCCGCTCTATCTCCTGAGCCACAGCCGCCCCTAATCACCCCTAATTGTGACAGCAATGTAATGAGTTTCTGGTCTCAGTCGCTAGTTTCAAGTCTTCTTCAACACAGCATGATGGACATTTAGTAAATTATGGTCCCATTTAGAGGAACAGAGACCAGGAAGCAGGGGAGGCTTTAGGGCGGGGCTACAAGCTGATTGACAAGTCGCTACCATGGCAACCTGTCAATCAGGATAGATTTTACAGCTGTACCTAATAAATTGGCCATTCAGGGCATATCTGCTAACAACTACATTAGTGTGTTATAAAGCATTCATTGCATGTTGGGCTGCGGTGTATGAGGTGTACAGGAGGGAAAAGTGTTGAGACTCACATCCATGACCTGGCTGTAGTCTCTTAAACAAAGAGGCTAGGCCCAAAAAGCCTGGCCATGCGGCTTGTCTCTAACAAAGGGGTCAGAACAGAATGCAAAGTTAATAAATGGTAAAATCTATTAAAAATAAATAAGTATAAATGATTTCTTTTTCTACAGAAACACAAACACATCAACCAAATACAAGAACATAATTTCCCGAAGTGTTCTGATCCAACCAGGACCTCCTGCTGTCTACCAGCTGAGACCAAAGAAAGAGAACATTGGATCTCTAAGAAGAATGACTCTCGGTGAAAGAAATGTGAACAAGATAAACAAAACCATCTTGCTTGTGGGTAAAACAGGAGCAGGAAAATCTACTCTGATCAACACTCTGGTCAACTACGCCATGGGAGTGAAGTGGGAGGACAAGGTCTGGTTTAAGATCGTAGAGGACGAGAAAGACGAGGAGAGAATCCAAACACAGAGCCGGACATCAGATGTGATGGTGTACCAGATCTTTGGTTTTGAAGGTGAAACTCTGCCCTACTCTCTGACCATCATCGATACTCCTGGATACGGAGACATCAGAGGGACTGAACATGATGACATCATCAGTCAAAGATTATTAGACTGGTTCGACTCAGAGGACGGAGTTCATGAGATGAATGCAGTGGGTCTGGTGGTGAAAGCGAGTGAGAATCATCTGAATGACCGACTGAGGTACATCTTTGATTCAGTGGTGTCTCTGTTTGGAAAAGACATGGAGAAGAACATTGTTGCTCTCATCACACACTCAGATGGTCTGATACCTGAAAATGTTCTGAAAGCTCTTGATGCTGCAAAAGTGAAGTGTGCCAGAAATGAAAAGAATCAGCCTGTTTACTTCCTGTTTGATAACTGCCAGGACACAGAGAGAACACAGGGATACAAGACTGTTTTAGAGACTGCATGGGAAACATCAATGAGAGGAATGAATGAATTTACATACTTTCTAGAAAAATCTGGGCCTCAAAATGTGATAAAAACTGTTGAAGTTTTGAAGGTACGCACCAGACTGACAGCCTGCATCCAAAACCTGAAAGAGAGAGTTGAGTTCACTGAACAAAAACAGAAAGAAATCCAACCGATTCAGGAAGCTCTGAAGAAACATGAAGAAGAGATGAAGAGAAATGAAGAATTCACTGTAGAAGTTGATGAGGTCTACAAAGAAAAAGAAAGGATCAGAGGTGGGAGGTGGGGGTTGGTGTTTTTTAAAGGAGCTGTCTGCTGTACAGTCTGTGAGGAGAACTGTCACTATCCTGGATGCACACTGGCCTGGTATCCTAAACACTGTGAGGTCATGAAAGATGGCCGCTGCACTTCATGTACCAGGAAGTGTCCTGTATCAGATCATGTGAAAGAAAAGTGGATCTATGTGACCAAGACAAGGAAAGTTCAGAAGACCCTGAAAGATGTGAAAGAGAAGTATGAAAGAGGTAAAGCAGGATGTGAGGTGTCATCAAGCCTTTTGGAGATTTTAAAAAAGCAAATGGAAAAACTTCAGAAAGATAAAGATCAGCGGCTGGAAGAATCCTTCGAGCTTGTTGTCAGACTGAATCAGATCGCCCTGAATGCTGATTCACTGTCCACTCATGTCCACTTGGACTTCCTGATTGAGAAGATGAAGGAGAAAGGAGACGCAGAGAAGGTCCAGAAACTGGAGGAGATGAAGAGTCGAGAGGATGAAGGAACCAGAGCAGGACTGCGGTACAGATTCGGTAAACTATCAGTGATGTAGCAGGTGAAGACTGTGGTGTATTACATATGTGCATTTGACCATTACAGTTTAAAATAACACTCTAGCAGCTGGATAGAGGCTCAATGAACTCTTAAGGGGGGAGTAGTGATTGATGGTGTGTAAAGAGTGAACCCTCCTATGGAATTTGACCTCTGACCCAGTGTTAGGGAAAGTAGTGATTAGTGTTTATGAAGGTACTGAACCCTTCTATGGTGTCTAACAGATGTTTACACTTATCCTACAGCACTGTGCCCTGATATGGATTAGAGCTTTAGATTGCAGACTCAGACCCTTATATGTTATTTAGCAGATACCTAAACATATCCTATATAAGCTGTGTTTGATGTACAGAGACACAGAGTGGTCATCGGGCTGGGTCACTCTCCAAACTGCTGCAGAGCTTGTAATTGATGCTGAATTCCTTGATGTAATAAACTTTTATGATCAAGAACAGTGTCAAGCGGATTTCTTCTCAACACATCATCGCAGCATTATTGTTCGGACACCACAACACCATCAGTGTGAGCAGCAGCTGTGTAGAAACAAGCTCTACACTGTTGATCCAGATGTTTAAACATCACAAAAGCTTTTTCATTGTAGTTCTATGAAGTGTGATGATGATGTCATAAGTTCATGAGGAAATTCAAATGTAATCACCTTTTAAATGTCAGATGTGTACCTCCTGGAAACAGCGCCCTCTGTGGTGTGGAATGACTGCTGCTCTTCTTGTAGTTTGGACAAAAGACAAGTGTGTTGGATTATAATCACTGACTCCACCTTAAACCTGCAGAGTTGACCTCGAACACAGCTAACAGCTCTGGTTTAAAGGAGTGAGGACGCCCCCTGGTGTCTCATGCTGAGTACAACAGCTCCCTCCCTCCCCCACATCACAAACTAAACCCAGTCAGATCCTGTTTTACAAAATAAATATCTTCTTCAGTTTCTTTATGTGAGTTTAACGTGTGAAGGTTCCTCTAATGCTCCTCTCAGCCAGTCCAAGGCTGCTGATTCCTGCTGACTCTGATGTTGACAGTAAACTCCTCACTGACATGTAGAATAGAAATCTCCATAGAAAGCAGTTTCTCATGTTGTCAGTGTGCACAGAGGACGTTCCAGAAGAGAAGTCAGACAGAAAGCTGCTGCTGTGTTTGTGAAGAGTCCTGAAAGCTGATGTCCTCTGATGGATTTCTACGCTGCTTTCTTCCTGTGTCTTCGTGCTCTGAATGACTAGTTCAGATATTTCATGTGGAAACATGTTGATCCTTTATGTTGAGCTTTAGTTACATGAAAGCATCCTGAGTGCTGCAGCTTCCTGTGAGCTTCATGAAATCAGTTTGCTCAGAGTGTCTTCACTGGATCAGCAGCAGCTTTTGGACTCTGCTGAAGCTTCTGCTGAACTTTCTTCTGTTTCTCTTTGGGAGTTTGTGACGAGCAGCAGGTCTGACAGAGATTGGTTCCAGCTGATGTTTCATCACGTGATCAGCTCTGTTGGTGATGCTTCCTGTAGTGACCACTAGAGGGAGCCAGCACTGCATTACTGAAGGTAACATAACATCAGCTGTGATCTGCTGGAGAGAACATAAATATCGTCATCATGTATTAAAAACGAGTTTTTAATGAACGTTTTTAACAAACAGAAGTTTCCAGCTTGGACTGTAAAGAATTGATTATCGATCAGCAGAATCTTCTGCTGGATTAAATGACTTGACAAACAGTTCATGTGTAAAACGGGACTGGTTGTGTTTCCAGAGTTTCCACTACAGTAACTGAACTTTGCTCTTTTATCACATTATTATTATTATTATTTACTGCAGGAAGTTACTGATCAAAGCTGCTGATCACACTAACAACACTTCCTGTATGCCTTTCAGAATAAAAGCGTTTTAATGTGAAGGCAGCGGCAGACTTTACTGTGAAAAGACGACAGGAAGTGCTGACTGTAAAGTTTATCTTAAAAACATTTTCAGCTTCTTGTTGAAACGCTCTGAAACCAGAAACCTAGTAAACCTGAGTAGTATCTGTAGTAGTACTGCTAGTATTTCTATACTCAACCAGCTGCAGGTAAAGGTGAATGTTTTAATGAGAGAGGGCCGGACAGCCAATCAGAGCAGAGAGTGTTAGGTCTCCATAGTAACGGCGGATGGTTTGGTGTCGCTTCCTGTTTGTTGTTTGCAGATGAAGGTAAAAACATCAGTCGGTAAGTTGCTGCTGATCAACAAGTTGCATGTTATTATTAATCTGCTAAAGACCGGGACCAGGACCGGGACCGGGACCAGGACTGTTCTGATCCCGTACTATAGTAAAGTAGCGATACTGCAGTATAAAATAGCGCAGTGAAAATGTAATTGAAGTAGAAGTACACTCAGAAGTACTCTCACTAAAACGTGTTTAAAGTATCAAAGTTTTTCGGTTTTCTCCGAGTCCACAAGTCAAACTGAGCCGAACCGAGAAAGATCAGGTGGAGACTTCACAGACTCGGAGTTACAGGAAGAAGCTGTTTTTATCAGCAAAGTAAAAAATCAAGCGGCCATTATTTGAATGACGAGTCGTGTTTGTGTTGATGAGCCGCGGTCACGATCACGTGACAGATTAGTCAGTCAGGACTTTAACACATCCTGAAGTTTGAAACGTCAGGAGGAGTCTCTGCAGCAGGGGGGCCGAGTCCACCAGGACCCTGACAGCCCAGTAACAGGGTCTTCACAGTGGACCAGGAGAGAGAGGGCAGATTAAAGTTAGATTTATTATATTTTTAAAGAAGAAGAAGGACAGAATGTGTTTGCAGTTAAATTTAAATGATTCTGTTTTTACAGAACAGCAGCTTGTCAGGAGTTATGCCAGGACCCAGATGCAGACACAGAGACAAAGCAGCAGTTAAACAGTTCATTGACTAAGGCAGGGTGAGGTGGCAGGGAGTCTCTTTTCTAAGCAGTAGAGGATGAGGGCTGGCTGGCTGGAAAGTTTGGATCTCGGCTTTGAGGGATTGGAACTGGCAGTCAGGCAGGGAGAAGTAGTAAAAGCAACTGGTTGCTAGATTAACAGGCTTAAGGCTAGATGCTAAGGTAAGACCTACGGTACGCAACTAACAATCCAGCAGAGAATGGAAGTCTGGTCTCTCCTTAAGAAGAGGTAGGGATGGCAGATCAGGAACAGGTGCGTGATAATCAGCAGGTGCAGCTAGTGCCAACTCAGGAAACCAGACACGCCCAGGATTCAAAAAACTGAGAGAAGAAAACAAACAGAACACACCAAGCATGCCTCACTCACCCAAAGGAAAAAAACAAATCAAAACACACTCACTCAGTCCCAAACTCAGGTGAGAGATGCAGGGTTCATGACACAGCTGGTTTTGATAAAACACACATGTGAGCTGTTGCTCACAACAACAAATATTTCCGTCTGTAACTTTTAAAATAACGAATATCTGAAAAGGGTTTAAATGGTCCCGGCTCTCCTACTGTGTTGAAAATATCATTTATGTAAAATTACTATCATTAAGTATCATTTCGTGTAGGCGTATCTATCGTTAGTACAGATGTATTTTACTGTTGTAGCTGCAGAGCTCAGTTAACTATTATATAATCTGTAATAATTTAATTTGACAGTTCAACTCATCTTCTGATGTGAAACTCCAGATCTGCTCATCAGCCAGTTAGAGTCCAGAATCTGAGTCCTGTCCAGATGTTTCTGTCTGAGCGGCTCTGACAGACTGAATGAGTTTGAGTTCTGTGTAAAACAACATTCATTAAACCACGTTGAATCCTGTTTGAGTGTCAGCTGCAGAAGTGAGACATTCAGAGCCTGCTCGTGGTCGATCATCTCCGACAAAGAATTTGTACCGAGATTGTGATAAATAAGAATCTTAACATCCATTGGTTGTTCAGTTTTGACAAATCAGAATCAGAAGGTGTTTTATTGCCAAGTAGTGTTTTACACGGACGAGGAATTTGCTTTGGTGATAAGGGGCTACATGCAGACAGACATCCAGTTGACATAAATAGATGTAGAAATATATAAATATGGAATAAACAAATGTAAGTTATAGAAGAATAATAGAAGAAATAGAGAAAAATTATACAACTATTTGCAGAGAAAGAACAATGTGGCAGATATTTACATGTGCATTATTCTGGTTTGTGTTGTGCAGACATGTTGCAACGGAAGAGGATGTTATAAAT